AAGAATTTTAAAACTCAAATACCCCCATTTCGGTTGCAATGCGTTTTAAGAAAGAAACTAAAACTATACCATTGCAGTGAAGTAAACTTGGCAAACTGTGAAAAAACTTTAATTAGCAAAAACCTGCATTTTACTTAAATTCATCAAAGTCTGAGAAAATTAGAAAAATTCAGACTAGAGGATAAAGGTGACCCCTCTGAATCTGAATTCTATCATTCCCTGTACAGTACTTATTTTAGCTCCTTTCGCGTATTTATTGGTTCTATACATATGTAGCAACATGGATTCCCCTTTGTTACATATATATGCTATATTATGTTGAAAGCTTACAGTAATAGTACTGGATGTACTATAGTATGATTTTCATTTTATACAGTATGCATATTAGTTGTCCTGCGTAGGAATACGCATTGAAATGTTACGCCAATGAATATTCTAAAGAAGACCTCAAACAAAATAAGTAGAATAATTTGATTTTTAAGATTCATAAAAAAAAGTAGCATGAATGGAAAAGGAATTTTTAGAGGAAATATTTTAATATGAGATTTATATTTTAATATGAGATATATATTTTAATTTGAGATATATATTTAATATGAGATATATATTTTAATATGAGATATATATTTTAATATGATATAATACTGTATATATTAATGTGAGAGGAATATATAGCCGTATTAGAATTAACGTAATTCTTTGTTGATATACAGCATGAAGTAAAAATAATGCGCGTGCTGCAAATAAATGTTCCGTCCCCATAGATACAAATATTACATCCAGTATACAGAACGCCGTAAATCCTACGATTTTAAAGTTCAATTAAAATCAAGAATTATCTATGCCGGCTTTGTGCGAAATCGCCAAATTCTTGTTTGGTAATTCTCCTGAAAACCCGCGGTTATTATAATAACAGCAGTATCAGCAGTAGTGTTTGCTTCTAAAGCTGCGTTCCATATATGCTGGTCATTGTCCTGAATCGATGAACGGATTATGTATATGGAAAAATCTCTTGAAGATATTATTGATCCGTTTTCGTGAAAAAAACCAGGCACTTCAATACAAACCATCTGTACCGCAATAGTCTGTAATTGGTAGAATTCTCCTCAAACCGCAGAGAAACCGAACAAAGGCCACCCAGGAGCAGAATGAATATACTGTACTGCTGTACAGTACATCATTGGGGTTTCAGTCTTTCTCCTACGGATCAATGAGCGCATGCGCCTCCTGTCCTGAGTTCCAACTGGTCACAATGGTGTTCATGTTCCAAGTTTTTTTACTAGGTGTCACTCTAAATCTCAATGACGAGATTGTTTCATCTTTCCATGATTATTAATTAATATTGTTATTTTTAGATTTTGAATATTTAATCTCCAGCGAACACAAAACAACCTTACGTAAAATATTAAAGTCACAAGTGAGTAACACTTAAAAAGTTTCCTCGGTTTACCGTCACCCTTTAACTTGCCAGAGCCCAAGAGAGACGGCGGCAGACCGTCATTTTCGTGATGCTGCTCAGTCGAACCGCGTGAAAGAATAGGAGAGGGTTCATGTGCTTGTGAGATGAACGAAATGTCGAATTTTGTCTGAAGTTCAGTTGCAAGTAGCAGTCGAGGTTCTGATTAAGTGAAGCTATCGATAAGCTCACTTTCGAATCACTTTGATGATCATACGTTATATATTGAATCTGGTGAAGCGAATTTTCAATGTGCTTAGACGCATCACTTTTAATTCGTTCAACCAAGTTGTTGCTCGATTTCCTGCGAATTAGAAACAGTTTCACTGGGTGATTTTCAATAAAGTCAAGCCTCAAAAGAACTATCTCAAAGTGTTTGTGTGGATTATTCCTCTTTGTTGGTGAGTTCCTACCGAAATTTCATCTGCATGATATTCGACGGAAGTACGGGGTTGCAATTTTTTATTGAGTACGCCGGGCTAATCTGCCAAATGACGAAATGATGGTCCACTAGCTCAGTTTTATTGATTCAATTGGTGACTGCATTGTTCTCTATTTCCTCGGAACTGGATGAACAGTGTTGAGGCGTAAGATCGGACTCTTCGTTGGCTATTTTGAAGTCATTTGTGAGAAGCTACTTGGAAAACGCGAGTAAGGCTATATTCAGATGTCATAAACGAAATCGAGTTGCTCATCAACTATTCTTCAAGCCTAACTGTTATTGTAGCTTGTATAGGCATCCCTCACATTTCTTGCATATGATTTTCGCAGAAATTCGCGTGTAACTTATGCATTGTAAAAAAATTTACAGGGTAATCTACAAATACATTTCCTCCGGAAGTCCTGAGCAATTTTCCTTGAATTTTCTTCGAACGATCTACAGTATCTGAATTCGCCGTTAGACTGCATGACACGCAGGGTCACTGACCGTCGTCGAACACGCGCATAGCATACCACCAACCTGGGTCAGTTAGAAACCTTACTTACCACGCCACCAAGTCGAAATCAGTTCATTGTTCGTACGAACATCCTATTATCGTTTCAGCGGAACCCCATGATTATCTGAGAAGAGGTCAGACTTTCGTTCGAATTGCGGTACTTATTTTCTGTCTGTGGTTGTTTCGGCGACTCCATTTAATCCGATTATTCGCCATTCTTGAAGTTGGCCTTTGTTGGGCAGAAATTCGTCCCTTCCGGCGGGCGAATGTGATTAGATGGGCTGGACCCCGTGGGATCGCGGTTGTGATTGTGCTTACTGCTGAGTATTGTGGCTCAATGCTGGAGAACGTCGTGAGTTCCGTCAGTCTTGCTTTGTCATGTTATTTTCTACATCTGTTAATTGTTTGTGGAACACGTCGGGATTCTCATTATTTCGCGATTGCTCGGGAAACGACCGTGATAATGGGTCCCGAAGTGCACCTCGAACCAATAATTATGTTTTGTTCCAAAATTTATCCAGTGCTTGACCTCTTGCTGCTATTTTATTGATAATAGAAGAGAGCCTTGAGAATAATTTTACGATTGGCTTCGAGCTTAATTACGAAATTGTGGTTCGCGGGAGATCACAATTCAACGGAGTGGATTGAAGGTGTGGACGAACTTCGTTCCTTGGTACACATTTTTGCTAAAATTAAACACCGGTAATTGTACCGGTGTTAGAAAATCCACACCATAAATTCTAAGGCACATGGAATTTGTAAACCCTGGAACTAAATAAATGTTCATCCCCTACAGCTGAGAAATTCTCCTAGCGAATGTAAGTGCTGTTGAAGTTCAACTTTTCAAAAAATACAAAATTTTTTTTTTTCATGCTAGATCGATAAATATGCTGATTTTATGTCCCAATGTCGTCTCATCATCCAGAATGGATCGCTTTCGATAAAACGATACAATTCAAATTAGATTTCCTTGTACTAAAAATTAATCTTGCCCGAAGTATTCAACTTGTCACTTCGCAAAAATCTGTATAATGCACTTTATTGGAGAAGTTGTCGGATTATTTTTAAATTTGCGTTTCTGACTTGTCAGGTTTCTGTTGCAGATCATTTCAACTGATCTTCAGAGAATGAAAGATGATTAATGAGATTTTGAACATTTCAATGGTACCCTTTTTTTGAATCCCTGCATGAACGAGCAGTTCGCGTGTGAACGAAAGTCACTATAATGATTCTCAATCGTTACTTGAGTTTTTCGTTTTCCAAAATCGGATAACAGTGCGTCTGATATTTGCATTGATAGGGTGTCTGTCTTGAATTTGCTAGCGATAGTCTTTCTAAGGAAATAGTGTATCTAGGTCTCGGAAGTCCCGCCAAGCTGTGCATAAATTGATTCCCAAGCCATAGAAACGACTGCACGTATTCCCCCCCCCTCCATCTTCAGCAAAGCAAAAGGAACGGAGCGAACAGAGAAAACAGAGAATAGGAAAAGAGAAACCATTTCAAAACTCACGAATATAAATGTCCCGCCTTTACTCGTGGTTCCATGAGTAAGGGACCCGCCTCTTGGCAACAGCAACACACGGCTCTAAGGATACGGGCGTAGGAAAGTGTCACTCACTTCATGCCACATGCATATCACTTTTTTCGGGGGGGTCTCGCTCTGTTCCTTGGCCCCGCACTACAGTTTCTGGGGCCCTTCAATAATGCTCAACAACTTAACGCCCGAACGAAAGCAGAGAAGCGACGTGACTTTTCTCATGTGGAGGTGCTCGAATGAGTTGGTTTTTGTTGTTGTTGTTGTTGCGTTTTTTTTGAGTCAGTAGCTTGAACCTTGTTTCGCGTAAAACACAGGAAACGGCCAAGAAATTTTGGCGATTGTTGTTGAGCAGGTGGACTCTCTACAAGGGAATTCTCTCCGCAACGGATTTTTTTATGGTTCCCTTAATTTTCATCTCTGAAATATATCGAGCCTGATGGAAGTTCTTACAACAATTCAATTGGTGCAGTTTGTTATTTTTAAGGCCCTTCAATTCACTTTCTAGAATTTAAAAAAAAATCAAATATGGTACTGCATTATGTCATTGAACTCCAGGGTTTTGGGGAAGCTCATGATTGCGTAAATCAGGAAACGTTTTTGGTTTGAATCTTATTTGTGCAAGGCTACGTGGATCAGGATTTTCAGATACTGTATGTGACTTCAATTCCCTTCCAACAATTTCATCCTACCACAGTATATAATTGAACTTCAGGGTTTTTGGGAAACTAATGATCACATGAATCCGGAGTTTTGTTGTTGTTTCAATTGTATTTTGCCAAGGCAATGTTAATCAGGATTTTCAGGCATGTGCCCTTATTGTTGAGATTAATATAATAATTATAAAATATGTAATTTTATAATTATTATCATACAATTTTAGCTGATATTCATCAGCATTTATTTGTATGTTGTGGCTGTGAAGAAAATCAGAATCTTTGTTTTGTTTTAGTCACAAAGAAATATTTTTTTTTACAATTTCCTTGGCTGTTAGCTTTTATTTTGTGTGCTCTAGTCACAAGCTTCCTCTAATTAACATCGCCATACGCAATAGGAGGAAAATGGGTTTGATATGAATTATATGATCATTAGTTACCCCTGAAACACCATAGACTTGAAGTTCAATTATATTGTCCTTAACTGAGCGAAATTGTTGAAGGCCACTGAAGGGTCTTATTAAAAAGGTACTAATCAAATCTTCATAAGAACTTCCACCAGGCTCATGGCGGGATGCATATCAGACTAAAAAAAAAAGGATGCAGCACGGTGAAAGGGATACATAAAGAATTTCCCCATTAATCAATCCAAATTATTCCCCCGTTTCCTCTGTATGGCATGACTGGGTAAATTAATGTAGAGCACAGGCAGGACAAAAAAAAAGCGAGATGAATACGTTTGGCATATGGACCTCTCTTGTGGAGGCCCTGATAGCCTATGTGTTGATGAAGCGGCTGGGTGCGGACAAAGAAGGCAAGTTCCAATGGCGAATGCGCCCATTCGCCATCTTTTGGTATGCTGGAGTCGTTTTCTGCGCCTTTTGCAACTTTTTCACTGCCATCTACTGGGGAGAGCGGACTGCCGAGAAAACTCGTGGATTTTTCAGGTTTTTTTAAAAATTTTGTTCTTACAGTTTCTCCACCATTTTGACCCAAATTGTATAATTTATCCTGTAAAGTTTCTAGATTTCTTTGAAAAATTAGATTTCTCTTCCAGTACAGTATTTTAGGGAGGGAGAAATGAAAGGAAATTTATCAATGTACTGTACTTGAAACGTCTATTGTTCTTGGGTAATACCTGACATTATTTTCAGAAATGTTTTGTCCAAGGCTCTAAGCAACAGAACGTGTTCTTTTTTGCAATTAGAGTATGCACAAATAAATATTCTAAGCTCGTGGAGGAAAAACTTGCATCCACATTTTTGCACCATACATTTCTCACTGCTGGGGAATAAATAAATAATAACTTCATGGCAAATTTTCTCTGGACGCATAAATATTCTACTCAACAACTTTTAATAGAAGATGCCTCGTCTGTGAACCGTATTCATTACAGTACTGTACTCCATGGATTTTCCTCCACATAAGTTAAAAATGGGTTGTCAGTCTAGTCATAATTTCCATTTTTATTGCATATTGCTCTTAATATTATTGTTTATTCGTATTTTAAAAACCGGAAGTCTTCTATGTTCAGAAGAGATCATGTGCAGTTTCTCCCCAAGGGATCTGGGCAATTTTCATGTGCTGGCGACATCTGTGAAAGAAAAAGGCATCACTCCTTCATCGTTTGTATTGGATAGATAACTCACTTAATGGTTGGTTCAGTATTCTTCATGTAGATGTCGCTGAGACAAGCTTCCCAATGATAAAACTAGCTTTTCAACATTTCAAGTATGGTACTTGTGGACTCTCTACAACATTCTTCTGCAGCAATTTTCTCTATACAATGATTTTGTGTGTGGGCCCATTGGGTTATCTTCCCATTTTGCAGGGGTTCTCTACAATGGAATTTTTTCTGCAACAATTTTTTTTTGGTCCCTTGAATTTCGTTTTAGATATAGGGAGTTCACCTGTATGTATATTTTTTTAGCATGGTCAAATACCTTCATATATTAAATGCCAGATGTTGGAATCGTGGTTGACATCTTTCAACCATTGACATCAATTTAGCTCCAAAAGCTTCATTAATTTCTGAAGAACTTCATTCCCGTCCTTCCTTTGAAAAATAAAAAAATTGAACAACAGGAGTCTGTGCTTCCTGGTGAGCGAGGTGGCCTTTGCATTTCTCGTGGCCCAGTTCCTCATGGACTACGGCTATTACTCGCTCTTCCGAGTGGCCCTCCTGTCCATGGTANATGTAGCAGTATGTAGGATTGATCTTTTTTGTGTAATTGTTTTCATAGCAATTATATTAGGGTAATCCCAGTTCTGCGCAATGCTGAATATTGCCAACATCCTTCAAAAAGTTGAGATTTTTGATAGAAAAGGATTGGACTTTGTAAAAGGGGGTTTTTAATGCCCAACCTTCATTCGGCCAATGACAATTACAGAAAACAAATTCAACCTTGAGCCAATAAAAATTGAATTTCCTTATTAAAAAAAAAATCATTCTTGGCGAAGGACTATGAAAAGAATTGGGAAAATTTGAAACTCTCCTGGGAAGCTTGACGTTTTTTACTTTTTACAATAAAACTACTCATCGAAAAATGTTTGAAATTTTCGCAAAAAATGGGAAATATGTTCCCAAGGGATGGAATTTTACTTTTAAACTTTTGAACAAGTTTAGCTCTTTGTGAAATGAGTGGAAAACTCGACCTGTAGCAAGAAAGTTTCCACTTCTCTTTGTGCCGTGTCTTAAAAATCTGAAGAAGATTGAAAATGTGTAAAACATCGTCGGGGAATTCGTTAATCGCATTTTAAAGACTTTTTAAAAATATTGAATGTTTCACTGGAATGGGACAACCCTTGTGTACTCCTGCACCCCTGATGAAATGAAATGGGATTTTAATCCCTGACCAAGAAGACTCGATGGAAGATAGCGCCTTTTCCTGGATCAGATCGGAGATGATCCATTAGCCGCGATGACATTTTATGTAGGACATGATTGATTGAAGGTAATCAGTTACGTTCATTTTATACGTGTATTTTTTTCGATTGCGGGAAGTATTTTTCTTTTAAATGGTCTCGCGGAAACGTTCGGACCGTTGACCGCCAACCATCCTCCCGCTTACGGTTCCTACTCCCATGGATCCGTCCGCCTTTAGTCGAACGTGACTCGCATCATTTTTCTTGGGTCTGCGGTTGGCATGTTTTTTTCTCGTAAACCGGGGCTCCTTGGTTCTTCCGGCAGCTGATTTATGGACAGCGGCGGATTAATGCGGAGAAAGGAGATGATCTGATGAGAAAAGTGTGTTTCTTTTTCCTTTTTCTTGCCCAAGGAGTTCACAACGTCTGCGGTTCTCTCTGTGAACCCATACGCGAATCGCGGTTTTTATTTTACAGTTGAACCTTTGTAAGTCGAACTTCAAGGGACTAGCAAAAAAATTTGACTTAGGGAGGCTTTGAATTGACCTACAATAAAAAAAACCCCTTTTTTCTGGGAAATGTGAATAAATTGCTGAAAATTGTAAAATGTTATATTCTGTGGCTGACATTTACTTCTTAAATGAGTTGAAAGAATCCTGAACTTGGAGGTAGGGTTCATTTGCCCAATCAAGTCATTCACCTCCTTTTAAAACAAATCAATATATGTTTTTATTACATTTTTTTCTTGTGTCAAGAAAATGAAAGCCAACAGGCCACAGAAAATTTGACTTCTTGAGGTTTGAGGGGAAAAGCCTTCAATTGAGGGAGGTTTTAAATGGATTAATTTTCAAGGGGATTCAGACAGGACCTGAAAAAATTTTGACTTACGGAAGTATTCAACTTAGGGAGGTTCAAGTTATCAAAGTTCATCTGCATTTTGCTCTGGGAATACTTTATAAATACTCTATGGATCAGTATAGTATATGCACTGGTTGTGTCTGATGCACCATAGGAAGTCAAGTACAGTGTGCAAATTCTTTTGAGTTGAAATTGCTGCGAACAACTTCATTTTGTGCGGAAACCCTCAGCTAAAACTCTCATGCAATGCACTTGATTTTGTTTCAACCTTGCTTAGTGCCACAAAATTGTGCCAGGACAAATGATGACACCAAATTGAAGTTTGACTGTGTGCATTTCTTGCTCATGGATTCTTTTTTGAAAGATGCCTAATTTGGATGCAAAAAAGCATTTGTATCATCTCGCACGTTTGGCAATGTTTTAAGCTTTTAATGCGGGAAAGCATTAGTATGATCAGCTCGCGCATTTGAATAAAATGTGTACAGAAGCATAGTCGCCTTGTTTGCAGGACTGTTGTGTTTCAGACGAACTTGAAAAGCGCTTCTTGTAGCAGTTTCGCGTGATTTTTAAATAAATTGCGAGCGTCAAGTATTGTGCATAAATCTCGACGCTGTCGTATCTTGAATGATACAGCATTTGAGGCCTTTCTCGAGAATTTCATTTGATTCTTCTCAAAAGGAGCAGAGGAACAAGTACTGCATCATTAATTCATCCTAGCCTGAACTAATCTGATCTGACCGAATTACTTCGACACTTGCGTTTTCTCTCTTGACCTTTGCTGGAATGGCTCTTTTTCAAAATCATTTCTTTCGAGGCTTGTGTTTCTAAGGGGCGTATCATTTTTTCAGACTTTCTGAAGCATTCTGAATTCAGCGTTCAGTTTTCTATTGCTACTTTGATTCTTAGTCGCGGATGATCGGAATACATTTTTTTGAGATTGCATTATGACTCATGTGATAAATCGAGGTTCATTTTTTCGTCACATGCCTTGGTCCGCTTAAAAAAAAAAAACTGAACCTTGATGAAAGAAAAAAAATTATGGGTGTTTTTTCAATCGATAGAAGTGAGGCGTGTCCTTCGCAAGTCAACTTCTGTCCCAATTGAATCGTTTAAAAGCGTTCTTTTTATAAGTTCAACGTTTAAAATGGATGATGTGGTCCGTTTTTCTCGGTATGGGGCCTCGCGTGTTGGACACAGTGGGCCCGGGACTGTGACGAAGCACCCATTGCAGCCTCTCGCGATGCTGATTTCGCAATTTCCCGTGAACCAAGAGCCCCTTTTTCTTTTCTTTTCTTCTTTTTTCGAAAAAATACATTTTGTTTTCCCCTTTTTCTTGCACGCGAACGGCGTTCGTCGATCTGGTAAATCCCGAATTGAAATTGGTTACGCAACTTGTCGTGAGGCTTGCAACTTTCCCTTCGCGGTGTGCACTTCATTTCTACGAGGAGTTGAGAAAGTGTATCATGATTATAATTTTGTTGTTGTTGCTTGAGTTTGAGATGCAACCCCGAAGGGTTTATTTATTCCTTTCTGTCAAATTCTAGGTTCTGTCAATGGACGCGACGTGTTTTCTGTCGCGATTTTGTGAAACACTCGAAATTCTTTATTTTGTACTCCAGTAAGAAAAAAAAAGAAACGGCAGAACACTGGTGTTTGATGCTACGTTCTCTTTTTTTTTAAGCTAATTTTTTTTGTTTGCAATGCAAGCCGGTTACAGTTTGGAAGGTCAGCGGTACATTTACTTCTTTCGTTGACAATGTTATTATTATTATTATTATTTTTATTTATTACGCGAAATACAATTTTAAATAAAGCATTAAAAACGTGAAGAATAATTTTGTGGCTGATTATTATTTTATACGTGGTGAATGAAATGGCGTTTAAATCGAGTTCTTTCATTTTATTTGATGCCAAGTTTTTCCTCCATAATGTTGTTCTAGATTTAGATCATAATGTAATGTAACTGTTGGAAAGACGATCACTAATACTTTATCGGAATGCTTTGCTGTTACTGGATTGTTTGTTTTTGCCCGAGTCGTGCTTTTCTTTTTCAGCGTCCGATTGCTTATTGAACTTATTTGATATCATTGTTTTTTTTACTCGCGTACATTTCTCCGAGTATTCAAAGCGCAGGAGAGAAATGAAATGGCGCTTTTGCAATGCATTATGATGTAAAGAATATGAGAGAGAGAGAGAGAAATGAACGCATTTTACTCGTGGAATGACGCAAGGATATGCGGATTTATTTATTCAGACCCCCTTCTCCTTTTTCGAAAGGTAACTTATGGCGAGAAGGAACGGCGGTGTTCGGATCAACATGGCTGCATCCATCTGGTGCTTTTATTTTAGGGCAGCCATGTTGACGCAGTGCATGATACTGGATGGTTTGCTCACCATTCCGTGTGCAATTTTTCTCGCAAAATCCCTCGTAATTGTATGTGCCATTCGTAATGACTCGCCGACTGCATTTTTTTGGCTGCAAGGCGTGCTCACATTATGTATAGGAAAATTCTTGCAGTTTATTTTTGAACGAGGAAGTGAAATATTTTTGCTTCGTGGTCATCAAGTATTTTCAGTCGTTCGAAAAAAAATAATTATATGTATGATGCACAATTATTTATAGAGGGAATTTTGAAACAGAAAACCGAGAAATGTTTCGCTCTTTGTTATAATGCGTAGGCTTTGGCTGAAGAATAATTTGCGATTGCTCGTGCATTAACGAAGATTCTCTCTCAAATTGCTGAATAATCCATGCAAAACTCCGCGAAGAATGGTTTGTGGTCAATTATTCAAGCTTGTTTTTGGTTGCTAATCCACAACCATTTTCCGAAATGCATTCATCTGCATTAAGCATAGCAGAATGCCACTCGATACAGCTGACGCGGGTGTTTTCCTTGCTCGTCTGTTGCCCAGGTGTTTTAGAAAGAAGATATCAGCCGTATTTTTCCATTTCCCAGCACCTTCTTCCGTGAGCAATTTCTCGCATATATTTTTTTTAATCTGAAATTTAGTACAGCGAGTCCTTCGATAACGAAATGCACGCGCAGCGAAAAATTCGCATAGCGAAAAATTCTTAGCTGGGGAAAAGTGACTCGAATGACGAAATGGTTCCACCTAGCGCAATTTTTCGGACAAAAATGCTTGCATTTCATGGAATATCAATTTAATCCACGGGATTCTCCCAAAAGTTGGAGAAAATGAGTAAGTAGGGGGACAGTTTTGGATCTTCCTGCATTTAAAATTTGAGAAATTCAGAAAGTTATGAACAAGAGTTGTCAAGATTCGTTCAATTTCATGATGAAGCATTATTAAAATAAAAACTTTCTGCTGAAAAAATTCACAAATCTTTTTGTTTATTATGGTTATTCGAACAAATCAATCAATTTCTAATATGTTCGTGAATATAAACACCCCCTAGTTTTTGAGCTTTTAAAGATAAAAAAAAGAGAACAACGCATATATAAGCGCCCATTTTTCCATTTCAGAAGTTTGAAAATTCGGAATTCTTGCATAAAATTTGCATATTGTGCAATTTGCGTAAATATATACGTCTGCATCAAGAAATCTTCCTGTTCGAGGCCCACACAAAACGATTGAATGCTTCTTTTCTTAGTTTCTTTTGAATTTTAATTATCGTAATTAAGAAATGATTAGCTTTCAGCACTTCGATGAGTGAGCCATTCACCGAAAGATAAGAGCAATTTTTACACTTTATTTCACTGTTTTTCCTTTTCTTATGAAAATCTGAATTTCGTAAGAAATTTTAGGTTCCTGGAAAGTCAGAAAACCGGAAAGTGAATTGATGATTGTATTCGCTTTATTAAATGATTTTTAATTTTTTTGCATGGCAAATCTTGGAGGGGAGTGGGTGGTGCTTATATTTGCGTAAATTCGGCACATCGCAATCTGAACACGCTTCGTATATACCGAAACGCATCCAGGAAAGGATTAGTATCAGTGCACTGTGTCAATGCATTATTTCGAAATGACTTCCAGAGAAATACATTTGTTTTATTTTTATTTTTTCGAGTAGCCAGGCTCGCAGCAGTGTCCTACTTGAATTATTACCGGGGTACCCGCATTGTCATTGCGGGATGTATTGATAGCCATCAATAAGTGACGGAATGCGGCGAAATTTCCCCGTGCAGTCAACCGGACGGACCATCATTTCGACGCACAAATACATACGTATTTCATCACCAAAAAATAAAAAAAAACCGTGAAATGAAAACCCCGTAATTTCACCTCGCAAAAAAAAAAAGAAAAAAAAGACGTGGTCCTATTTGGGAAAGGGAAGAAAATTCCAGCAGAGGAATAAATCCGTCTTACCAAAGTTCCCCACCTTGCGATAAGTTTTCTTTCCTCCAGTTTTCGGTTGCTATGTGCGTGTGGTGTGAGATGGAATGGAAAAGAGCGCGAAAGGAGAACGTTATAAGGATAAGCTTGCCCGGAAACTTGTAAGCTGTATAGCAAAGTAAGATGTAAAAAAAAAAAA